CAGTGCCCTCTCTTCTCCAGGGCATTGGTTTTCCCTCTATTCTTCCAACCCCACCCACTCCTGCTAAGAAAAAGCCTCTGGCCTAAGCCTCTGTTCCCACCGTGGATGCTGGCACTTGGCTATGGCCCCCAGGCTCCCTTGGCATTGCTTCCATACAGCTGAAGCCAGGAGGCGAGGGTAGGTCTGGGGCAAGCCTCTGAATGTGTGGGAATGTGTCCCCCACCCCAGGAATCAGGCCTGGCTGCTGCTGGCATGCACGCTGAGGACCCTTTGGCAGCCTTCCATGATTAGAGAAAGGCAAGTCAGCCAAGACAAGACAGAGGCTAATTACCCTGGGTAATAGGAAATTGGAGAGCAGCTACAAGAAGGGTGTCTAGGCCTCTGGCCAGGCAAGGGCAGGGACCATGGATCCCCAGCCTGGCCTGAGCCTTGACCCTGAGTGGACACTCCTGCTCAGGGTCACCCTTGGATTCCAAAAATCCACAAGAGCAGGAGCTGGCCTCATTGTCAGACATTCCTGGGACCCTCTCCCTCTGATGCTCTTGTTTGTTTTCATTCAATAGCAAAACAAATGAAACAAACAAGAAAATTCAATTTAAACGGGGCACGGGTGCTGATGTTTCTGTTTTGCTACACCAGGATGAGCTTAGGACAGAAAATCAGCCTTGACTTTTGCTCTTCCAATTGGTCGCACCCTGCGGTGCTGGGTAAAGTTACATGGATGGAGGGGCAGCTGAAGCAATTGGCCTTCCTAGGTGGGGTGGAGAGAACGAGTTGGGAAGGGAAGTGGGCCAGATTGAGAGAGAGAGACAGAGTAAGAGAAAGAGAGAAAGAGAGAGACCAAAATTCAAGTAAGAAATGGGACACAGAGACTGAGATACACTTACAGAAACAGAAATTAAGGGAATTTTTTTTTTTTGAGTTGGATTCTCACTCTGTCACCCAGACTGGAGTGCAGTGGCTGCTCCTGGCCACCGCAGCCTAGACTTGCTGGGCTCCAGTGATCCTTCCGCCTAAGCCTTCCAAGTAGCTGGAACTACAGGCACGCGCTACCACACCCGGC